GTGTTCATTCATAGTTTTGATGCCTTCAGTGAGAATCTACAATGTAAATAGTCATGAAAATAAAGAAAACGCATTGAATGAGAAGGTGTGTCCAAACTTTTGGCCTGTACTGTACAATAATATAACTCTGGCAGGGTCACTTCTGCCCAACAAGTTATTTTACTTTAATACTGTTGTTGTTGTTCTGCTTTTACTGAAGTAAAATATGAGTTTTTCTTCCACGACTGCAAATTCCAATAATTGTATGTGGGTATTGATCAACCAAAGGGTTGTTTCAGTAAAATAATATATAGCTCAGGCTGTACCAGATGAATACATTAAAAGCCAAAATGCTCATTTCATGGGGGAAAAGTATTTGTCCTGTTTTTGTTTTTGTTTTTGTTTTTGTTTGTTTGTTTTTTAACTTATGAGAAGACCCTTCATGATGGAAGATAACAAGAGTTGGTGTACCCGGCCTGGAGGGTTACCGGGGCCCCGCCCTGGAGCCAGGCCTGGGGCTGGGACCCCGTGGGCGAGCGCCTGGTGGCCGGGCGTTCGCCCATGGGGTCCGGCCGGGCCCAGCCCGAACCGGCTACATGGGCTCGTCCTCCTGCAGGCCCACCACCCGCAGAGGGATCCAGAAGGGTTCGGTGCAGTGTGGATCGGGCAGCAGACCAAGGCGGGGGCCTTGGCGGTCCGATCCTCAGCTACGGAAGCTTGCTCTTGGGACATGGAATGTCACCTCTCTGGCGGGGAAGGAGCCGGAGCTTGTGGAAGAGGTTGAGGATGTTGGAAAGAGGGACAAATAAAGGAAAAACAAACAAAACAAAACGAAAAAAGAAACTATGATGCTCTTTAAAGGCATATCTGGTGATTAGTGATTTCTGTGATTGAAGAGGCACAGGAGTGAATGTGGAGCAAGTCACAGTATGTGTGTGTGTGTGTGTGTGTGTGTATTTATTCATTTATTTATTCTTGGATGTAGTCTACTTAGTTAATGTCCACCACTGGTAATTTGCAAGTCGTTGCCCAACAGAGCAAAATTCGGAGCTTATCTGGAGCACTTGAACGCAGCGGCAACATTGTAACCCAAACTTCAGTGTAGTTGAGTCATGAAACATTCACGAGTTGTGTCTGTCCTTTCATGTTGCTACGTGTATACGCACATGTATTATACCGGAAGTGCATGTTTAGTGCACAGTGTGTGAATCTTACCGATCTCCGTGCCTTTCCCCAGAGTGAACGTGAGCCCGAAGCCTTTGAGCCCACAGTCCGTGTCCATGACCACATATGCGGCTGAATAATCCGGGTCGGTGTGCTGCAGTGTGGAGAGTTGCACTCAGGACATACCTCTGCAGATATAAGCACAGTAATGTGGTGCAGCAACTTTCTTACCATCGCATCGGAGCCGTGTTGCTCCAAAGACGTCGGAAATCTCACATCTCTGACTCTTAGATTGATAATTTTGTGCAACATTTTGGCGCAGATCGTTTTATGATTCACACACCGTTAGAGCACTTTCTTCTGACCTGTATACGCTGATCCCACCCACCTCAGCCTGTCATGTTTTAAACCAATGTCCACTTGAAAGAGTTAAAGAGACAAATCAGGACATTTAAAGGAACAGTGTTTAAGTTTTAGGGAGGTTTGGTGCCGTCTAGTGGTGAGGATTGCAGATTGCAACCAGCTGACACAAGGATTTGCAACGAGATGGAACTGTATTACAATGTTGCAGTGGTGTGAACTGGCCATCTGAGCTCGACTCAAGCCAGCCAACAATGTCACCTGCAGCTCAGCTGGTCAAATCATTGGCAGCTGGTTTTAGAGCATAAAGCAGCATGGGGCGCCAGCACTATCTACTAAGCTACCGACACCCTGTGTGTTTACCTTTTTTCTCTGATAACTTCAGATCCAGACATTCAGGATGTTTTCACTGGGAGCTGAATTATCCACGTCTCTTCCTCTCCAGAACAGACCCAGTGATTTAAACCATTTAATAAAGCAGTTTCAAGTGAAAATATCAGTGTTTTGTGATAATGCTAGTCGGGTAGAGGCTTCTAATTATAGTGGCCAATGTGAGAACACAAAAATGTGAAATGTGAAACTCAAACACAAACAGCCATATCTAGAGCAGTGTTCGGTTTGTCCATTCTGGGCTGCTACAGGTAACGAACACACAACGCTTCTTATTTTTAGGTCATTATACACTTAATAAAACATTATTACCGTAAAACAATTAGTACCCAGCGCTATTGTTTGCTTAAATCACTAAAATCAACGGGCCTATCAATCATATTGATTATTTAAACCAGCATAAATAGTACTTCTTTAAAAATTAGGCTTCAGCTAATATATCAATTATGAATCATTCATTTGATCTAGCTCTGGCAGGCAGCAGTGACACAACACCATTTTATCTTGTTAAAACAAGACTCAAAACTTGGATTCATTTTTATGAAAACCCCTTTTGATTCTTTTGATCCAAGGACCCTCATGGACCAAAGGAATATGAATAACTTACAGGGTAATTGAGGAATGGACGCATAAATTGAGGTAGCCATCAAACCGCTTTTATACATCCAAAGAACTTCTCTAGAAAAAAAATTGCTTGGCAACCAGACCAGGTGTCTAACTGAGACAGGGCTAGCAAAAGGGACTAGGCTTTTAATTGAAGTTTAATGGTATACTTCATTTCTTCCATACATCCCCTCAAGCTTTCACACTGAACCTTACATATAAAAAAGAACACTGGTCTTTGCAAAATCACGTCTTTATTGTACAAAGTCCTCAGATGACTCCCCACCCACCCACTCCCTCCCCCCAAATATATTTTGCAATGTTGTCGGTTTTATGAATAATCTTATAAAATGAGGATTTTATAATATACAAAGCCCTTTCTCACAAGCTCAGGCGTCAATTAGTGTTATTCCCATCACAATACTGTCCCGAAGAGTCCACACAGAAGCAAAATGCAAAGATAAAATCACTGTAAAAAACTGTAATCATTGCTATACAAAGAGTTTCTGTGGTGCCACCTTAGATACATGAACGTGAAGGAGTCCCAAGTGCTTCGTTCAGTCACATTTCAGAAGATTAAATGGTTGTTTTGTTCATGAATTCCACTTTGAGAAAGAGTTTTACAGCCAGTAAAATCATCTTGTGACTGTGAAGTGTCATTCTAAGCTGGCAAGAAGCCGCGAGTCCACTAGTTTCATCACTGTTTAACTCACTGACACATTATACAGGCTGTTTTATGTCAACTGAGATTATACAACCCAGGCAGTGACGGGAAGAAAGAATTATGGCATTGTTATAAAAAGTCTTAGCAGAGAATTGTCTGGATGATGATGGACAGTCAGGAAGTCTTCAACTGAAACTGTAAAACCACGTCCGTGTGATGTGAATAAAATGTGATAAAGTCTTGTGATAATAAAAGAACACAGAAGAAAATAATATAAAAAAAACAGAACGCATTTTAAAGTATTATAAAGGCTTAAAAGACCATGTCACAGTCTCACTCTGGTCAGCCATTTGTAAGAAATAAAAGATTGCACTGTAGCTGCTGAAATGTAATTAAAGTTAAGCTGTGTGGGATCTAATTTTAAATAATCTTTGTCAAATGGACTGTGATAATGACCATCAGTCCCCTGAGAGCTTCTCCCTGTTAGTTTAATATATTATCTCTGTTAATAATTCATTGTTTTGATGCATAATTTACCAATTTACCACAAAAGAATACAATTTGGAGGGAAATGGAGTGTGAGATCTCCACATTAAACCACAGAACAGTCGGACTATCAGTCTTAACACTGTGTTTCTCTATTGTGAGGAATTATCACAGCTTATTTTTACAGCAATTATACTGTGTTCATGAGAGAGAATTCAACATGTAGTGTATTTAAAAGATAAAAAAATCAAACATTAAGACCTGTGTCGTACCATGAATTAAAAGAAAAAAATATAAAAGTAAAATGAAATGGTGGCGGACACTGAAATAAAAAAATAACCAATGGGTGGAGCATGTAGTGGTTTATGCGACTGGTTAGCCTGGTCTCCAGTCGACTTTTCGTAGAGTCGAATAATTAAGAGCTCGTGTCTTTAAGTGCATCTGCTCCCAGGCGTAGGGATATGCAGCAGAGTCCAGGCAGGCTATAGGTTCTCTCCAGGTTGGTACTGTGGCTCTGTGGCGGTGAAATAGTCCTCCAGGAAGGACTGGAGGTACTCAAACGTGGGCCTCTCGTCCGGGTCCTTCTTCCAGCAGAGCTTCATCATCTCATGCAGGGACTCGGGGCAGCCCTGGGGACAGGGCATGCGGTAGCCTCGCTCCACCTGCTCCAGTACCTCACGGTTCACCATGCCTGAGAAGGAGACGGCAGGAAGACTGTCAGATACTGTCATCGCTTTTTTGGTTTTTAGCTATAACTTCCATGCAGACATTATTGTAAATAACCATTGTGATCCGGTCTATAATCCATGCTTGTTGCCTGGCAACCTCCTGAATCCAGAAAACCATCCAATAACAACTTCTTATTCTCAAGGTGTGTTCAGACCAAACATTTTGTGCGCCACAGTTACATACAAAGTCAATGCAAAGACACAAATGGACACAGATATGTGTTCATGCGTTTCAACTTTAGCAAAAAAGTTGCGTGATGCACTTGGAAGGCCTATCAGCGCTGATATTTTTCTGACGTCACACAGATTCACTAACAGGACCAAGTTATCGTTGCTGTCTCTGGGCACCAAGAGCTCATCAGTGGCCTACTGTACTGTACAGAGACAGACCAAAAAGTTGAGGGAGCTTGGAGAGTGAGCAAAGCCATAAGACCACATGTCAAGGTCTGGAAATACGCATTTGTTACTTGATTCCAGCTATCAGTTGTACCTTTCTACGAACCACATTAGCACTAGCCTTAGCGTTAGCTGCCTTCCAGAGTTAGTAAGATCAACTTTTACTTCAAAAGGCCTCCAGTGGCTATAACTGCGCAAGTAACGCAAGATGAAAATTCACTTTGCCTTCGGTCTGAACACACCCTACACTTCATTTTTTGTATGGATTGAACAGTAGAAGATACAACCTGTTCACTAGTGAGCATTAGAGGTGTGGTTAGGCAGAGCACATTTGGGCAGAGCCAGGCTAACTGTTTCCCCTTGTTTCCAGTCTTTATGCTATGCTAAGGTAACGGACTCCTAGCTGCATCTTAATATTCAGCACACAGATATTGGTATTGTGTTGGTGGTATTGATTTTCTCATGTAACTTGCAGCAGAGAAAGTAAACGTGTATTTCCCAAAAGCAAATATGTGTATTTCCCAAAATGTCCAACTACCCCTTCAATCAGTAATCAAAAATATTTAAGTCAGTGGAGTAATCTATTAATGGTTTCAGCGCTCCATCTGATAGAGAGCGGAGCTGTGCGAAGGTGGTGCAGAACACTGCAGGCATCGCTCCCCAGGGCAGTGTCAGTCTGGCAGATGGTTATAAACAAGAGTGGTGTTCAATCTCCTGATCGTCCTCCACCAGATGGTCTCATCTAATCTCAAATGTGCGTGTGTGTGAGGGTATCAGTGTGTGTGTGTATGTGTTCCCCCTGCAGAGGCATAAACAACCAGCGCAGACAATGTCAGACGGCTTCACTTCATCCTCAGACATTAACAAGCACGCCAGCTTGACGTCTACTGACAGACTGAAAGCTGATAACTCCGGCCGTGAATCACCACCCTCTGACGCCAACCTTTTTTTTTTTTTCTCACATTCGGTGTGTGTATGTGTGTGTCACTGTCACTTACCTGGGTAGGGCACTCTGCCTTTGGTGACAAGCTCGGTGAGTAAGATCCCAAAGGACCAGACGTCTGATTTGATGGTGAAGCGGCCGTACAGAGCAGCCTCCGGAGCTGTCCATTTAATTGGGAATTTGGCTCCTGTGATACGATGGAGAGGAGAGAGGTGTGAGGTGACTCCACTAGAGGGCGTATTCCTTCATGTCTGGCTTTATGTCCAGAGGCCACAGTGAATCACAATTATATAATTTAATCACATCATTTTCTGGTTTTCAGCTTGTAAATACACCTCAGAGAAAAGTCTCTCAAATTTAAGGTTTAAAGGATAGGAGTGAATATAAAGGACATTAGTAAGGATCTTATGATTAAAGGGTTGTTTCACTCAAATTAATACAAATTCCCTAGAGTTGAGCAAGCATGACATTATGCTCTTTGGCCCCTTTAACACTACCTGTTTAAGGCGGGACTATCATGCCTCTTCGTGCTGTATATACAGCACAATGGCGGAATGGGGGGGGGACAGATTGATCTCGCTTTAAAGTCGCCATAGGAGGAATAACAGTGCTGAAATGGACCATGGGCATGACGGATGTGAAGTTTTAACGCCGTGTTATGAGCACGACCCACCATGGGAGATTTTAAAAGTAGCTACTAGCAGTTAGTGGCTAACTCAAAGAAGAAAAACAGCGGCTGTAAATGTCAGCAAATTGTGAAAACAAAGAGATTCGGGAGCTCCTTACCCTCCAAGCAGAGGATGAGATCAGCCGCCATCAAACAGCGACAGTAAATGATTGTTATTGCCCTGATTTGCCATTGTTATTGTTTACAAAGTGCTGTTGACGCGTATATGTCACACTAGAGGCCGATGCTGTTGTGTTACATGTCATTCCTCTTTTGAGTGTATGCCTTGTCTGCACATGGTTCTCAACATGGAAGTGGCTGAGCCGGTAGCTAGCAGCTAATGGTGCTAACTCCATAAACAGCTCTAAACAATGACAACAGCACTGACAGAGCTAATTGTGTTAAGTGGGCAGCTGTTTTTGAACTTACTTGGAAGCCACAATAGGCACCGTACCGCTATCAGCAGTTCTGGATGTATGAACACAGTGCATCATGGCGGCAATGACCCAGCCAGCTAGAGACACATGCACAAACATGCGTTCATGGCCACAGAGAAGCACAGATTACAACACACACACAGGGAGAGTGACTTCATTCTCTGCACAGGTCATTACTCCACTTTATCTTTACATAGCAAACAACGGTTTACTGCTATATTAATGCTTTGAATTTTGCATACAGAACCTCTGAAAAATCACATTAATTCAATGAATCAATGTGCCTCTCTGTGAACAGTTTTCATCAGTGCTACTTTCTGCTGAAGATATCGTCCTCATGTAAACTTGCTGCGATCTGAGGAATAACCAAAGTAACACTGGGACTGTGAAGAGATGTTGCTGCTGAATATTTTAAATGTAACTTTATCAAAGCTGAGAGCATCACAAACAAAATCTCATTCATCTCTTCAGCCAACAGCAGTTGGCTTCAGCTTCAGTTAACCGTCTGTTGCTAGTAGCAACCAATGCTGCTGCAGCTGTATAGCAGCTAAGCTAACATTGCTACATATTGTTACAATATTGATAAGCCTATTTTATGTACTCTCCAACTGCCTTATTGGAGTATTATCTGTAGATATAATTTATAAAGCTGCTTGTTACTGTTGAGTTAATTTTTCTGTGGTCAGTTAACTGCCAACAAAGCTGCCTCTATAGAAAATGTGAAGCTATGTCATGCTGTGTGGGATGGGGGCACCATTTTGTGAGGTATGCACTCTGTTATCTCTATTATCAAGGTGTATACACTCCAAAAACTGTCAATGGTATCTTATCTTTATTTCCTGATTTGATTATATTTGTTGTCCAATACTATTTTAACAGTTTCACAGCTGCTCCTGCTATAAACTTCAAAGACAAATTCCCAAATTTTATTGGGTGTGTGTTCAACTACATGCATATTGACAGCAGAAGAGCTCCATTGTATTACCTTGGAGGCAAAAATCTAAGAGAAGACTCTCAAAACCTGAGCAAATACATCCAAAATGATCCACATAGCTGTATACCATGACAGGCACAGGTAGTAATCTGAGTGAATCAGTCCTTTAAGGAGCCGACATTGCAGTGAGATGAATTCTCCCAGCATGGGAAAAGCGCGACTAATCAGAGAGAGCAGGAGCATCTGGTTTCCACTATTATCCTAATTCACCATGATAGGAAGCAACAGGGAGTCGTCCTTGCTGTGAGGCCACTGTTCTGCCCTGACACCTCATTCACCTGTGACTCAGTCTATGTGTGTGCTCATGTTTGTGTGTGGACCCACCTTGCCTCGCTGTGTACTCGTTGTCCTCTATCAACCTGGCCAGACCAAAGTCGGCGATTTTGCACACCAGGTTGTCGGCCACGAGGATGTTGGCGGCGCGCAGGTCCCTGTGGATGTAGTTCATCCTTTCGATGAAAGCCATGCCGTCAGCAATCTAAAAACAAAACATTTTGACAGCATCTCACGAAGGCTGTTTTGGCAAATAATTTTTAGCTCCTCACGCTCAGAACATGAAGCCCTCTGTCAGACATAAAGAGGATGCTAATAATGAAAGAACAAAAGCAAACTGAGGGGGACATGTTTACCCGAGGCAGGCATTTCTTTTTTTAAAAATCGGAGATTTAAAATAGAACAGTGAACATAACATTCACTGACACAAATTCTGCACTCTAGAAACAAACTAGAGTTACTGCTTCACAGTTGTGTGCTTCTGTGAACCAGTCAGGTGGCAGTTACAGTTTACATCCACGTCTGTGAAAACATGGATGCTTCACACACAGTCTTCCCCCTGGCTGCACAGAAGATCTACACAATCAGCACAGGTTCAAGGTGGACACCCAAGATTAGTGTCACCAATTTGGTATCTGACCAAATGTCCCCCCTTCTTTTCCTGAGATATGATGGCTTGAATAATGGCTAGAAAAGTGTTTCTGCAGAATACTATGATGTCAAAGTGAAGTTGACCTTTGACCTTTTGGATATAATATCTAATTATTTTATCATTATATCTCATCAGCCATTTGTGTGATGTTTTGTCGTAATTAACGTAAGAATTCTTGAGTAATGAAGCCAAAAAACATGTCAAAGTGACCTTGACCTTTAACCTTCCACCACCAAATTCTAATCAGTTCATTCTGAAGTCTAAGTGGACCTTGACCTTTGATCACCAAATTCTAACTGATTCATTGTTTAGTCCAAGTGGATGTTTGTGCTGAATTTAAAGAAATTCCCTCAAGGTATTCTTGAGATATTTGATTGACCACCAAAATCTAATCACTTCATGGTTGAGTCCAAGTCAATGTTTCTGCCAAATCTAAAGAAATTCCCTTTAAGTGTTCTTGAGATATCACATTTACAAGAATGAGACAGATGAGGTCACAGAGACCTTGACCTATCACCTATGACCACCAAAATAAAATCAGTTCACTGCTGAGTCCAAGTGAATGTTCGTGCCAAATTTGAAAGAATTCCCTCAAGGTGTTCTTAAGATATCGTGTTTACATGAATGGGACAGACGGATGGACAGCCCAAAAACATAATGCCTCCGGCCACAGCTATCGCTAGCGCAAAGGCATAAAAAACGCAGGTATTTGTGGTTTGTCTCACCTGTGCAGCCATGTCCACTAACAGGGGAAGCTTCAGGAATTTGCCGTCACCCTCTTTGAGGAAGTCGAGCAAGCTCCCTATAAAAACATGAAAGGGAGAAGTCGTAAATGCAGGACAGCCATGATATACTATAAGAGCTATAAAAGGGCTGCGACACCAGCTGCATATCAATGTACTGCTGTATGAAATGTTAAATATTTCAATTAAGCCCTCCGTTATTACTGTACCTGGTTAGGAAATTAGACTGAATATCAAATTAAGCTTGACTGTGAACTGATATGTGATTCAAAGTATTCTGCGTGAGGAGATCTGTGGAAAATACTACAGTTATGAGATCAAAACACATAGTAGATCAACAAACTGCTGGCATTTAGACACACATGCTCACACAGAGGCATATGTCATCGAGTTAACATTTACACACACATAAATCTAATTACTCATGAAAGCCAGAGAAAAAAACACATGGCAGCTGAAGCAATGAAAACCTCCCACAAACTACTGCAGTTTTCAATTAAACATCCCAGTTTCAGGCCTCAGGGAACCACAAGGGACCTTCAAGGACTCTCAATCTGTGCAGCACATTAATTAAATCATCCATAAAATTTAAATTTTTTCCTTTAAGGAAATCACCATGCATATATCTGACATCAGCGCCTGAAAAACCAGAGCTGCGTGATCAGTTTTGTGCCCGAAAAGACTACAGGCGAAGATGTCGCTTTGCTTTCTTTAAAAATAGATCTCATCTGTGTCATGTGACAGGAAACTGCTGAGTCGTGTTATTCCCCAGGGCTGAGAGATCTCAGACAATCAGTTTAAGTACTTATCAAATATGTCAGTTTGGAGCTTCTCAGGTGTGTTTGGTATACCTTTGGCCATGTACTCTGTGACGATATAAATGGGCTCCTCGGACACCACAGCATAAAGAGGCACCAGTTTGTCGTGCCGGAGCTTCTTCATGATCTGAGCCTCTTGGAGGAAGGCCTCGGGTGACATGGTGCCCGGCTTCAGCGTCTTTATGGCCACCTTCGTGGTGCCGTTCCACGTGCCTGCAGAGACAAAGATATAGGGAGAGAAAAGCCCACAGGCCGCGGGGGTAATCAGTGCTGTTAATGGGGTGGGAGCGAGACAATATCATTAATTAGGTCTTGTAATTGCCCAGACATGTGCTGTCATGCGTGCACTCCTCGCAGAAATATGCTTGGGATGAGCGGATACGAGCCGCGGTTCAAGAAAGGAACAAATAGGTTTGGCTGCTGAGTGAGACGATCTCTGGAGATAAAGAGGATACAACAAACAGAGGAAGCAACTGCAGGAAGTGGATAATTCCCTAGTTTGGAGTTTGGACAAAAATAGACACAATAAATATAGGCTCTGGAGTGTTCCTTGGATGTTTTATGCGCATAATGTTTGCATTTTCTACATAAATATGGGCTGATTTTGTGTTTCTCAATCTTGATAATTATGACTTGAATACTAAACAAATGCATGATGTCAGAAAACATGTTCCTGAGTGTCTCGTCTGTCTCGCTCTTACCCATCCAGACCTCTCCGAAGCAGCCCTGGCCCAGTTTGAGCTCCAGTCGCAAGGACTCCCGCGGGATCTCCCACGCATCTTTGGCGAGCCCCTGCGTCTGAGGCTTGACTGTGGGGCAAACTGTGGTCAGCCGGTGGCAAAGCCCGTCGGCATGCTCTGTGATGAAGCGAAACGTGGAGATCAAAACGCTACATTATTACACTCAGCGGTGGCAAACACACACACACCCACATGAGTCTCTGAAGCAGCAGGATACAGGGTTTTAAAAGCAGTCTGTTTCATGCATCGATTCATTCCATTTGATGTGGATGAATTCATGCTCTTAAACTAACAGTGATGAAATATAAATGAGATGATTTTTTAACACACCAAAACCCTCTCCAGAGTGAAATGAAGTGGGATAACAGTGATTTAACTTCAACCCTCCTCAGGCCCATAGACAAGGCTCAAAATCAAAACTGCTCCGTGAATTGTTATTAAAATTAAAGACTATTCATCTCTGGGGCATAATGCAGGTGGAACAGGAAACTGCATGGTGGCACAGAGCAGCAGGTGTGACTGAGACTAATTTTCAGGTGTGATGAAAGACTGTGATGAATAATGAATGAGGGAAGACAGAAAAAAGAGAGAGACACTACATACCTGTGTAGTGTTTGACAAGCTTCTGTAATGTGTCAAACTGTGCGCGTGTAGTGATGTAGTATCCCCCGCTGTCGAGCTTGCGGATCTTGTAGTGTTTCACATTGTCTCCTTTGGCTTCGTCCCAGTCTCGTATGGAGAGAGAATAAGCACCTAGAGGAGATGAGGGAAATGTTCTTCATCCATCGAAACAAAAGTGTCAAAGATTGGACTGTGTTGTGTTGAAAAAGTTTTTTTCCCCGCCTGTAAGTTCCCAGTTATGTCTAGATATAGAAAGTGATGGAAGTGATTTTTCTCCAACAGTTTGGTACATCAAATGGCTTTAAACGGTAACTTTGGTGTTGTTCAACCTGGACCCTATTCTGCCATGTTTGCTTTTTAGTGAATAGTGGGAACAATTTTTGAAATTGGTCCAGTACTGAGTAAGAAACAAGCTGCCATGATTGCCCACTGTCAAGTCACATCCACTTAAAGAGCTTGTTTTTGCCAAAAAACGTTTTAACACAGAAATCGTGCTGTAGGGCCGCTACAAAGTCCCTTCTTTATGTCGCCTTTGCATTTTTACATAGAACCAAACGATGGCAGCATCTTGCCACCCCAAAGTGTAATTTTAGACAGCATGCCGGCATCGCTGAAGCAAAAGAGGGGTGACGTGACATAACAGTGCCGGCCTCGAATGTGACAAACAGCAAAGGCGTTGGCAGCGCTTTTTAAACAATGACAATGGCTTATCATGCCAATAGAAATCATCCGTCCCTGTTACATCGCGGTTGATCTCTTCCTCTGTTCTGAGGGTAAGGAGCTCCCAGACCTCATTGTTTTCCTAATTTTCAGCCGCTGTTCTTCTTTTTTGAGTTAGCTGCTAACTGCTACAACTGAAATTAGTGGTTCCTAACTAGTCCAGCCATGAGGGGTCCAGATCTCTCCTTAGTCATTAGTTCAAGGTCCACATAGTCTAATACATTAAGCATTATACTTGCATTTGGTGACATTCTTGAGCTAGTTTGCTGTCTCTGTAAAGAGGCTGTCCATTAGTCATTCAATCTACAGCAGGAAACAGCACTTCAAAATCAAAGCTCTGTGCTGGACTTAAAAATCAAGCATGTTGTCTAAAAAACTGGACATGTTCGTGAGTCACTTTTGGACTGAGACCAACCAGTTGGGAACCACAGGTTTGAATCTCCTGTGGTGGGTCACATGCATAAGACGTTGTCAAAATGTCACAACCATGCAGCCCATGATCCCATCCTATCAGCTGTCCCTTTTATACTGACGTCATTTCAGCCCTGATGTTACCTCCAATGCTGACTTATAGGCAAGACAACTCTTTCCTCCCATTACATGATTGTGTTTTTTATACAGGATGGCAAGGCAGCATAACAGCGTGAAATTTTGAAGAGACAGTGTAAGAGCGCAGTGTGAGACCAGTCTCACTCAATACTGGGCCATTTTCAAAAAGTGTTGTTTCCATTAGTCACTTAGACACAAAAACATGGGAAAATTGGGTCCGGGTTGAAAAATACCAATGTTACCATCAAAGTCATTAGATATACCAAACGGAGAACCAAGGAAATTTCAATTTCTCTATAAGACATTATCAAAAGTCTGTTCTACTGTTTAGAACACATTCATTAAAAAACAATACCACAGGATCAAGAAACAGAAGTCTGTCTGAATAATGTCTGACAAACACAGTTAGACTGGCACGTTATTGGGAGCTAACAGTACAGGTTTTCTGTGCACTTAATTCTTGTGCTCTAAATACTACAACACTCGCTTTTATCATTTCACGTGACCATGGAAAAAAAGGTGGTCAGGGGGGTCAAATCAGAGCTTTGTTTTTGCATTGAGAAAAAAACTCCACATAGTTGCAGAATCTACACAATCCAACACTGACCTAGAATCCGAGAGTGAGCTGATTTAAAGTGGGGGATGTGTTATCAGATTCCTATCAATCATCACTGTTGGCAGAAATTTTAAGCTCACTCAGTTTTGAGTTTTTGTACATATGTACATATTTTGTGAACAGTTTTAACCTTTAACAGACATTTTCTGATGCAGTTGCTCTTATTTTGTGCCGACAATTAAACTGGGAAAGTTTTGTGCCCATCAAAGCCTTAAAGTACTCCAACTTCTGGATGCCTGAAAATTCCTCCTTTCACTTAACTTGTCTGTTAATGAAGAAGTGATCATCACCTTTAGTAGTTTCACTTTCTCGCACCAGGAAAGTCCCTCGATTATTTCCTGGATTCAGCAGCAGCCTCTCAGCATCTTTACGTCCCATTTTACCAAAGTACCACCTGTCAAGAGAAAGAAAAAACTTTACACTCAAAATTTAAAGGAATACTTCACACCACTAATGATAATTTGTGAATCAATTTTTCAACCCGTGTTACATTGAATTTGTGAAGAAAACTTTGTTTTTTTCGCATGCGCTTAAGGAGAACGAAAAATCCAAAAACAGAGGAAATTCTTGATGAATTAAAGTCATAGGGGTCCACGTTTAACAACAGCAGATCATCTGTTTACAGACTCTCACACAACTGTCAGTCTCAGAACTTCCCAAATAGATGCATTTTAATACTATTTAAAATACTTCTGCATAAACAGCAAAGGTAGAGGTGTTTTAAATTGTAAGGTTTCAGAAAAAATGAATGTGTTTGGAAAACACTGAGCATTCGCCTGGATAAATGAGACTTGCTTTGTACTGTGTAAGTTATGCGACACTTTGTAAACTGATGTTCTGATATAGTTTTGTTGTTGTGAAATGTGGCCCCCATGACTTCAATTCATCAAGAATTTTTTCTGTTAATCGATTCTCCTTTCACCGTGGAGGCACGCGAGAAAAACAAAGTTTTCTTCATGAGTTGAACGTAGCACTGGGTAAGTAATTAAAACACAAAGAGTCATTTGGTGGTGAGGTATTCCTTTAAGTGGTGACTGAGAAGCTGACTGCTGAAAATCAATTCAGTCAATTATGAAGCCTCATCTTGGTTGTGAAGCCGTTAATATTGTGCTTGTTGCGAGCCATGTGAGATGTGATCATGGCGATGTTATTAGTCTCCTGGTGCATGCGCTGCAGATGGAGTAATGAGGTTAAAACAAGGTCTTACTCTTCAGCCTGGATGGAGTCGGCAGGAGCCACGTAATTGCTCGGGATGTAGCCGTTCCTCCCTGTGTTGATGGAGCGAGCCTCCCACCAGTCTCCCTCTCTGCAGGAGGACAAAATGACACAGGAGAGATGAGACAAATGACTCGTTCTTTTAACAGTCAACCAAGGTCTTATATATCCCGCTATGATTGATCATCTGGATGAAAACTGGTTAATAAAGGTTACTGGTTAATAATTTAAGGGTCATGTTGAAGGAAATGATCCTCACTTTAGCCAGCGTGGTGGCTTATGGTAAAGGTTTGAAGGTACATGGCTTTTCTTTTCTCTTTTAAAGTAATTGGTTCTGCATTCATTTCAACATGATTCGAATTTTGAACTGTCTTTGAAATGTGAGGTAGGACTGAAAAACACTGTCACAATGAGGGTTGAATGAGACTAATCTACTTTACATTACAATGCTATAACCTCAGGCGACATCTCTGCCACAGCATGAATCAAATAAAAGATCCACGGCCCCGTGCAGAAAGCAGCAGCATCAGGAAACAAACAGTAATCAAACTCATTCATGAATACAGATATACAAGGAACAGGTGCAGTTTAGGGATTACTGCTTAAAAGAGAGACATCTTATCACATCTGCTGCTATTTTAAAGAGGTGTTTCTCTACTGGAAGGATGGTCTTTCCATAAAACTGGGCTGTCTTTGCAGTACTAAGAAGCATATACTTTTTAAATTGGAGCTATATGACCAGAGAAAACAGAGGGAAAGCGCTGTGGTATAGAAAACATATGATTACCAGAATGCACTATATCGTCATGCAATTGCCTGGAAAGATGAAAAGAAAAAAAAACAAAACTGGGAGGCTACTCACGTGTTGTTGATGATCTGGAAGCGGTCTCCTTTTTTAAACGAGAGATCATCAGATGTTCTAGCTTCATAGTCGTACAAGGCCACAAAGAACGTAACACCACCTAAAACACAAAAAAGGACCCACGTGTAATGAATAAATACCTTGTGAGCGTGTGAATGTGAGCACTTTACACACATACCAGCAGATAATGATGTTAGCAGAGGACATTATGATGCTGTGGAGGGTTTGTTTGTGTGTGTGCAACTGTTTAAAGACCAATTAAGGGGGATAAATCTGTCTCGTCAAGGTCTGAGAGCTCAAACTGTATTGATTTCCTTTGGCTTATAATTTTATTGTGTGAGATTTCTCCTGCATGGGAATATGACGGTGACTAGACTCTGCAAAGACAGACACAAGCAAAAGGAAAGTCAATACATTAAAGCAGTTTTTAATGGGATCAACTGCCTAACAATCATAATCTAGATCCCATCACTTGCGCATAAAACATATTAATGGCAGAAGACGCATTACAAGACACAGATCAGTCATTTACATTAAGAGTCACGTCATCTTTCCGTCCCGTCCTGTAAAACACTCTGCCTCCTGTTACAGCAATACCCCACACAGATGACATTCATATACCAACCACCGACAACAATGCTGTCAACAGTAATCCCATTATCTCCTGCAGAAAGCAAATAACCATGGCAGTGCCACCTTCGCCCCCCCTCTGAGCGCAGATAATCCAACGTGGAGGAGGATTACAACCTAAATCCCACCGAAACAGGAGGGTTCAATCTCATCTCTCTGCTTTCAGGATCGCTATAAGCTGCTCAGACACATTTAGGGTGATCACAGATGATAACAGGACCTGGGTTCAATCTAACAAGGAAAAGCTAGTTAAAGTAACAATGGCTGGGGCATTAGCTGTGACACCAACATGTCGGATCAGCACACTGACCACATTAAGCTCAGTGTTAGGTACAGTGTGGTTTAGCCCATTTACTGTTTACTGTAACACATGTTATCATGGATACTTTACATTGCAGGTGACCATTCTCCTCAGCATAATGCATTTTATACCACAGTTAACATCATGTTTGTTTTATTTTGACATTTTTGTCCTGTGGCCAAAATGTTGTGATAAAACAAGAGTTAAGTTAAGCATGCTAACATTTTCTTATCAGCACAAAACACAAGGTATACTATGCAGGATTTTCCTCAAAAACAATGTATTAACTCAGTCATTCCTTTCAATCATCACGTTGATCCATTTCAAGTGTGTGGTAGTGAATTTATCAGCAGTATTTTCTGATTTTCGTCTTATTTTGCTGTGCTCAGGGCGTTCCTGGACCCAGCACAGGGCTGAGGTCCGGATTTCAAATGGCAGCAACCAGATGCCAGATCGTAAGCAGCAATCATCCAAGAGGAAGCTTTGATAATTGTGGACACCGAAAAAAACCTGCATATATAGTGAGGTAAAATGCCTTGTTGTCTTTCACTTCCTTCTTTTGCTGGCGTTGCTGTTCATAAGCAGTAATCAATAATTCCTCCATAGTATACCTTTAAGTAATTGGAATGTCATTTCTGAAGGTGTTTGGTCATGAACCAAAGTTTCTAACAAAGTGATGGTGGCAGGTGAAAAGGGATCACCAAAGTTATTAAAACTCATCTTGAGTTGGACGTGAATCTTTATACAAGATGTTGTGGTGATCCATCCAGTAGTTGCTGAGATATTCATGGAAGTTTTTATTGGAGTTCATTTGTAATATCACATGAACACATGTCACATGACCCGCAAACTTACAGGAACAATCCACAAATGTGCAAATCCAGTCTTGTGTGTAAAAACGGATCCACAAATGCATAATATGACTTCATGTGTATTTGCTGTGGCGCAAACTCCTTACATGTGTAAAACCTGTAAGACCTTATTTCATTCAAAACCACAAATGTAAACCTCTTGATGGCGATACCAAAGATATTTGGGATCAACAACTGGCTACCAGGAGATCGTAAGCCCCAGAGCCATGCTGCTAGAATCACTGAAAATGATGAAAAACATGATGGATTACCTATCCAGAGGAAAGTTGACAAAAGGTGTTGAGACTTTTCACAGGAAGAGAAACATTTGACCTGCTGGTGGAGCTAAAAGAAAAGTTAAGGGATTATCAAAGTCATTGGAATTCATCCTCTGGGCACCATGGACATATTTGGTAAATTTCATGGCAATCCATCCAACAGTTGTTAAGACATTTCACTTAAAAATAGACAACCTCATGGTGACGATAACAGAACTATTTGGGATAATCAAAGTCAGTCGTATTCTTTCTCTGAGGAGCAGCAGAGTGCCATCTTCAGAGCTGCTAGCATGACTAAAAATGATGAAAAACATGATGGATTACCCATCTGCAGCAAGTCAAGTCTCTACAACTTGATATAAATGCCATATAAAAAAGATGGTATTAATAATGAATACCATGCGGTATTATGAAAATACCACGGCATAAAACAGATTGAAGCATCCAAAGATTATGAGTGGCTGCCTGGAAAATAAGAAAAAATATATTCAAAGGCTAAAACCCAATCGTATGCTTTAGAAAATGTTCAGCAGTAAAGCAAATGGGCTACAAGATTACAAAACACTGAATGGTCCTTTAAGTATGACAAAAAAAGGACAGTGCTCTTCACTAAGACCATTATCAGCACTGTAATGACATCTTACATTACAACACTACTCACTTGAGACAGCACCAGAGAAGGAGTTGGACACAGGACCGGAGAAGGAGGACGACGCTCCTCCAAAGGGGGTCATGGCAGACGAGCCACCAAATGGTGTGAGGGTGTGGTTGAAGTTTGCAGCCCCAGAGCCTGCTGAGGAGGAGGGTTGTTGGTTCTGCTGCAGCTGGGTGGGATCCGGCCCGTAGTGACCCACATGAGGTGTGGTGATGGTGGCGTTGGGGTCCGACACCGTGGAATTCTCCGGCCGATACTTCATTGTAGGGCCTTTGTCCTCTTTGCTCTTGATGCAGCCCATCGTCTTGCCCTGCCTGGATAAACACAACACAGAGCTGTCAATTTAATGCCAGCAGACTGAAGAATACAGCATCCAATTCAACATTGATGATGAAAGATAAATAAAGTGAAGGGCCAAGGGAGTTGTGTTGGATTAGTGATTGCAACATAAGGCCTGTAAGCGCAGGAACATGAACGAAACGAACATCTAATGACCTGATGTTTTCATGTGAATCATTCTGTTGTCGCGACCTGCTAAGACCATAAGCCATGTGGTAACTGGGACATATGGGCAAATGGTAAATCCGCTTTGAACCATGCACAACTCAAACGTGTAGATTCAACTGTGCATGCATGTTATGAGGTATGACAACTACAAAACAGAGGGATAAAAAGGTCATTACAATTTTATATTGTTGCGATCCATTACATGCCATTGTTGCTCCATAAAGAGATTATCGTTTATATACAAATGACAGATTAAGGCCAATCTAGGGCATTGAAATAGAGAAAAATAAAAACTCTTGGCAGTATTAGTGCTGTGTTTTACATTTATGCCTTTTTGTGATTCAAAAACCCCTTCAGGGGCCCTCAGTCCATTGAGGAATTACTAAGCCTGCTGACTGGGCACAGACCCAGGGGCCCAAGGGTCCAGGGGTATGTATATAATAATAATAGTATGATGTTAGTATTTCTTGTTGGAAAGTCAATCAAATGAGAAGCAAAATGACCAAAAAGAGATTGAAAATGACAAGAAAGAGACTTACAGCAGCTACAAAGAGACGCAAAATGACCAAAAACAGACTCAAAATGAAAAGAGACTAAAAACAACTACAAGGAGATGTAAAATGGCAAGAAAGAGACTCAAAGTGACAAGAAAGAGACTAAAAAGAACTACAAAGAGATGCTAGACAACCAAAAAGAGACTTTAATGACAAGAACGACACTCACTGAAATGATAAAGACATAAAACAGCCAGAAAGAGACTCAAAATGACAAGAAAGAGACTCAAGACAACTACAAATAGAGTTGAAATGACAAGAAAGACGCTCAATATAACTGATAAGAGATGCAAAACATCCAGAAAAAGACTCAAGATGACAACAGAGAGACTCAAGACACATAAAACAGCCAGAAAGTAACACATAACAACTACAAAGAAACGTAAAACTTCCACAAAGAGACTCAAAATGACAAGGAAGAGACTCAAGAAAACTACAAAGACACGTAAAACTGCCAGCAGAAGATAAAAAAATGATAAGAAAGAGACTCAAGGCAACTGCAAAGAGACATAAAACAGCCAGACAGATACTCCAGACTAGGGATGGACTGATCCGATATCTGGATCAAATATTGGCCCCGATATCATCAAAATAGATGGATCGGGTATCGGAAAATGCAACCTATACCTGAGGCGATCCTTTCCCTTTAAATCTATTGCGACGCGAGCTACGTCATACATCATGGAGCGAAGGAGAGAATCTGCTGTGTGGAGGTATTTCACACTATTTCACCTGCTGTTGCACAGTTGTGTATTTTCGTTAAAAATAAATAGTTCATCATTGCATTCATCTGTTTCATCTTGTTTCATTTTATCTTAGGAAAGAACTGTGTAGTCATCAATGCCTGATGCATCTAGTCTTTTCTGTTCTACATGTAAAGGTATATAACTTTTTAGGTCAACCACGGCATTGGATCGGTATCAGGTATTGGCTGATACTCAAAGCCACAGCATCAGGATCGGTGTCTAAATTGAAAAAGCTGGATCGGTGCATCTCTACTCCAGACAACTATAAAGAGACTCCAAATGACAAGAAAGACACTCAATGTAACTGCAAGAGATTCAAAACTCCCAGAAAGAGACTCCAAATGACAAGAAAGAGACTCAAAACTACGAAGAGACATAAAATGGCCAGAAAGAGACTCAAAATGATAAGACAGAGACTCAAGACAAATACCAAGACGTGTAAAACATAAAAAGACTCAAAAGGACAAAAAAGACACTCAAAGCAACTAGAGACATAAAACAGCCATAAAGAGAATCAATACAACTACAAAGAGATGCAAAATGGACAAAAAAAAACAAACAAAAAAACAAACAACTAAAGACAGACCAACAACTACTACAGACAACATCTCTGACTTGATTTTCTGTCTCTGAGTTCTGGTTCACCTGCAAAATACTACAGAAACAATTTCAAGTCTGGGCATCTTACTCCTTTGTAGGAGGGGTGGGGGGCCTTTGATGTGTAAACCCAGGGCCCCACTGTCTCACAATGCGTCCATGCCTCACCCTGACCATGATACAAGATTTAAAACATCGGTGTGTCTCCATCTGCGTGGTTGTCATTCCTCGTCCTAACATAATTTGGCCAGAGTCACACTGAGGCATTCTTTTGTGAGGTGAAGCCCCGGAAAATGTGGAGACAATCAGACAGGCTCGTAAAGAAGTCTGAGCTCGGGGAGATCAGAACGTTTTCTTTCTCCAAGAACAACAGCTGCTCCTGGAGTTGGACTTGGTTAATTGGCGTTGACACTTTACAAGACAGCAAAACAATAGAGGAGTGAAGTGAAATAGGAGCTTTTATTCAGTGATGTGGGGTATGAAAGCAGACTAAACAAACAGTGCTACCGAGCAGCATTGTGGCACAGCTGGTGACAGGAGTGACAGGATTACAGGATCACAACCATGCATCAGTGAAGCAGAAGACGATCTGCTGGTGCAGTAATACACCTTTCACTCATTTTGGAACAGCGGCCTTGATGTTGGGAGGTGGGAGAGATTTTTCCTCATCGGAGACGGAGGGGCGCATTCGAGAGTTCATCGAGTTCTCCAGCTGAACTGCCAAGGAAATCAACAAAACGGGGACAAACCACAGAAACCTTCCTAGGATTCAGAACACTTTGCTCAAATAAAACCATACATCCGTTTAAATTGCAGGTTACAGCTCGTGCTGAGCGCTGGCCGTCTTCTACAAAACTATTTTACGAGTGGTCAGTCGCTGAAGACGTGTCAAAATGAAACAGATTTCTTAAAAATGTCTTCAAAAGGACCAATAAATCTAATCTCAGATGTTAGATCCAGAGCCAATATGCTGAGAATGTTGGCATGGAAAATAGACTTTCAGTTTCCGAGCCAACCTTTCCTTTAACCTCGAGACAAAACCAGTGTTGTGGAAAGCAGAGGGCTTCGCTCAGAGGCTCAGTCGACTATGGTGGGCTTGTGTTTCATCATCAGAGAGACGAGAGCCTGGCTCGGTGGGTCAGCAATGAACCACGCTATAAAACACTGGACAGTGTCCCAGGAATATTTGCACTTTAAAATGAGGATGGTTTTTCCTTCCAAAAATGAGACATCAGCCGTTTCATAAAAGTGACATCACTCTTCCACAGTGATCATTAATGAATAAATACTGAGCTGAACTTATAGACCCTTTTAAAGAGAAAGGATGTCAAAATAAAACACCACATTAGCAAACTGTCATTTACATTCATACTATTCAAGAAGCCTCCTGATATATTACACATGATGCTTTTTCTTAACTGCAGTGTCCATGCACGCTACTCACATCGCATGCAATCCCCCAACTCTCCCTTCATTATCTGTCATCTCCCTACTGTCAACTGATTGTGTAAGAAAATCAATACTTTAACTCATTTACTGTTTGAAAAAATGCTGGCTCAAGCTTTAGAGAAGAGGATTTGACTGTTTATTGCTGCGGCAGTGCTGGTCTGTGCACGACTTTGGTCCAGATTGAAGTATCTTCTCAACTATTGTATGGATTGCTGTGAAATTCTCTACAGATATTAAAGATTCCTAGAGGATAAATTCTAATGACTTTGGTGACACCCTAGTCTGACTCAGAGCATGTAGATTGTCATCATCCGCCTATTTCACATGGAATTCTCCTCCCCTTCCAATTTCATCTGACACTATTTTGTAAGAGCACCGTCACTGCATCCTGAGCTGAGCGCCACCCAACACCATTCTGATTGGTTTAGAAAAATACAAATAACCCAAAGTGTTTTTTTTTTTACCTTAGCAAGGAATTGTTATGGGTTCAGCCAGATCTTTGTCCAGCAGTGGCACAGCTAGCACTAAGACGAAGTTTTAGTCACAATTTGAATCTGTCTTTGGTTAGTGAAGGTTCTCAGTCATCCAGGTCATGATAATCCTAATTGCTGTATCATAGGCAACTGGACTTGCTTAAGTTTCTCGAAGATGTTTCACCTCTCATCCAAGAACTGAAGAAGCCTCTTGGATAAGAGGTGAAATGTCTTCAAGAACCCAAGCAAGTCCAGTTGCCTAAGATACAGCACTTAGGTTGTTTTCTGTTACTTTGGTTTATAACAGAATAACCGCAGAACTTGGGTTTTATGCTAATTGGTAAATGTTAGCATGTTAAACAAAGATGGTGAACCTGTTTAATATTGGTGCGTTCCATTTGAACTAGGAAGTTGAATCTTTCCAGTTCAAATTTTCAACTGTAACGCCCCCTGAAGTCATATTTCTGATTCGGAATATCAATACACCACAGCGACATCGCATCATCAACTGCCAAGCGCCGAGGCCACGCCCCCCTGCTGAGGGAAAGTCTGGGGGAAATGAATATTGGCTTTATCGACCTGTAGCACAATAATAATAAGCTGGCTGTATGTTGTCAGATTTTTATTTTATCTGTCTGTGGAGTGGTGTTGTAATAGTGGCGCACCACGTTTATTGTGCGCCTATTATTTATTTTCCCATGGTGGAGCGGGTTTGAATCCCGTGAAAATATTCTTTTTTACGTTTCACAGGGCTGCACGGTTCTTTAATATGGCACATGTTTATTTAGACAGGCACCAGAGACGAAACTGTGTAGGCCTATTTAGAAAATTTATGAGAGACAGGAGTTAAATTTACAGGAAAAGCAACTTGGCCTCTTCCTGTTTTCAACATTTCGTCATAACAAGCGTGATTCAAACCGCGACTGAGTGTCAGTCCGTGACTGGGTTCCTCCAACAAGAGTCCACAGACGGAGCACGTTGGCTATGT